TTCGCAGAACTAGTTGAGGAGCTGATAGGAAATTTTATTGTCTCCCTAAAATTCAGAATGGTGGAAGGCGGATTTACATGGGTGTTAACAAATGTGTATTTATTGATAAAAAAACAAATGTGTATGGGCCAAATAATTGTAGAGCGGAATGGGTTATGGGAAGAGCTAGTTTCATGAAATACAAGGTTTATGGGAAGGCCCATGGTGTTTGGGGGGGGGGGATTTTAATGTTATAAGGTTCACAACTGAGTCAAATAATCCCCCAACAGACCATCACAACTAGTATGTGGAAGTTTAATGAATGCATTGATTCTTGTGAGTTACGAGAGCTTCCTTTACTATAAACTATCTTCACTTGGTCCAACTTCTAGGAGAACCCGACTTGCTCTAAGCTTGACAGATTTCTGTTCAATGAGGGTTGGGAAAGCCAATGAAGAGGTTTGGTGGCTAAGGCTTTACCTAGGGTTACCTCTGATCACTGCCCTATAGAAGTGGGACAAAAACCTTTTGGAATCGGACCTAGGCCTTTCAGATTTGAGAATATGTGGTTAACACATTTGGATTTCATGAAAAAGGTTGAGGAATGGTGGGGTGAAGAGTTGACGGGGGTGAAATGGAAAGGGGTTAGATTTTTTTTTTGATAAATGATTGAAATTTTATTCATGATATTCTGGAAAGGGGTTAGATTCCATAAGAAATTGAAAAGGTTGAGAGCTAAAATAAAGGAATGGAACAAGGACCGTTTTGGTAGGGTGAAGGAAGCAAAAGATACCCTATTTTACTCAGATTGAGAATCTTGATGCCAAAGAATCCTTAGAGAACAATGAGTTTGCAAGATAGAGAATTGAGGGAGGAGATCTCGTGGAGGCAAAAATCTAGGCACAAATGGATCAAGGAAGGGGATGGAAATACTAAGTTCTTTCATGCCATGGCTAATGGGAGAAGGAAATTTGATAGTAAAACTAGAGGTGGATGGAGTTGATCTAACTTCTCAGAGGAGATTGCTAGAGGTTTTGTGTCTCACTTAAAATCAATCTTCCAACGACCTTTAGAGAATAGAGTAAGAGTGGAAGAGGAGGACTGGCCAATTATGAATGAGGTAGACAAGGGATGGTTAGAAAGAAGGATTGAAGAAGAGGAAATTAGACAAGACGTCTTCCCAATGGATAGAGCTAAGGCACCGGAACCAGATGGGTTTACAATGGCATTTTATCAGGATTGCTAGGATATAATAAAAGAAGACTTAGTTGGGGTTATTAGAGAGTTTGAGGATAAACATGTTGTGAGCCCTGGAGTCAATGCCACTTTCCTAGCTCTAGTTCCTAAAAAGACTGATGCCAAATATCCCAAATATTTTAGGTCGATTACTCTGGTGACGAGAATGTATAAGATCTTGGTGAAAGTTCTCTAGGAGAATCAAAGTAGTTTTACCTTCCCTCATTAGGCAAGCACAAGGAGCCTTTGTATAGGATAGACAAATTATAGATCAGATCCTCATTGCAAATGAGAGTGGAGAAGATGAGGAGATCTTGTAGGCAAGGCTTTGTATGCAAACTAGACTTGGAAAAGGCCTATGACTTTTTATTTTCTTTTTTGATCAATAAAAGGCCTAAAACTTAGTGGATTGGAGTTTTTTATTAGAGGTGTTAAGTGGTTGGGAACAAATGGTGTAATTGGATAAGTGGTTGCCTAAAGTTCTGTCATTACTCAGTCTTAGTCAATGGAGTGGTGAATAACTTCTTTCTAGCCATTAGAGGCCTACAACAAGGCCACCCACTTTCTCCGTTCCTCTTTACTCTTGTTGCTAATGTGTTCAATAGATTGATTTCTAAAGCAAATGAGGAGGGCCTAATAAGAGGTTGGAGATTGAGGAGGAGAGACATTCTGGTTACCCACCTTCAGTTTGCTGATGATATTTATTTCCAATGAAGGGAATGATTTAAGTAAGGTGTACAAACTTAAAAGTTTAATAAGACACTTCGAGCAAGCTTCCAATTTGAGGATAAACTTGGATAAAAGCTCCGTGGCCGGAATAAATTTGGAGGTTTGGGAGGTAGAATCCATTGCGAGGTGCTTAGGTTGTGCCATCTTTCCTTAGCCTTTAACTTTCCTAGGTCTACTCTTCCCTTAGGAGCTAACCCTAAAGATAGCAGTTTTTGGTCCCCTATTGTGGAGAAATTTGGTAAATACTTGGTAGCCTGGAAAAAGAACTATAGGGGGAAGGGTGACTTTGATTAGGGCCACAGTGCCACACTTGCCAACCTTCCAACTTACTTCCTTCTATCTTTAGGATCTCCCCAAGGGAGGCTAAGAAACTGGAGAAGATCATTAGGGATTTCTTATGAGAACCAGGGGAGGTAAAAAAGGATCACATAATTAGATGGGAGATAGTGACCAAATCTACGGAAGAAGGGAGACTAGGGATAGGAAACTTAGTGCAAAAGAATGAAGCCCTACTAGGAAAGTGGTTATGGAGATGGCCTTGGGAGAGAGAGAGAGGCTTTGGCATGAGGTGGTGTCAAGTGTTCATGGCTATTCAAGAAATGATTGGGATGCTGGGATATCTCGTCGGGCTACCCTCACAACACCTTGGAAAGCCATACATGGTATTCTCGCTCGCTTCCTCAGGTTTGTCAAGTATGATGCTTGTCCCGGTAATTCTATTTGGTTCTGGGAGGATATTTGGGTGGGCAACCAACCCCTCAAGGATCGGTTCCCTTATACTCCCTTTTCCCTTTACAAAAATGAGCCAATTTTAAAGTGTCTTCTAGAACTGTTGCTTCCCTTATCCTTAAACTGGGATTTTGGGTTTCAAAGAAGTCTAAGGGGTGGTGAGTTTGCTTGTGTTACTGAGTTGCTTCACTTACTTGAATTAGTTTGTTTGGACCTAACAAAACCTGATGAAAGAGTCTGGACTCCCTTACCTAAAGGTACTTTTACTTGTGCCTCATTTCTAAAATCCCTAAGTTTCAGCCTAAACACCCGAGAGTTTCCTGTTAAAGAAGTTTGGGCAAGACCTATTCCCCCCAAAATTGTTGTTTTTTACTAAGAAGTTTACTATGGGAAAATCAATACTTTGGAAAACTTGTAGAAAAAGAGACCTCTTCTTTGTCTTTCCCTGAACCGGTGTTCCCTATGTAAGGCCCAAAGCGAGGACTGCTTCCATTTATTGATATCTTGTTCTCTTGCTATAGAGTTATGGAATTGGAACTTTAGTTTATTTGGTTGTAGGTGGATCCGACCATTTGATGTAAGCTTGCTATTTAATCCTTATTTTTTCGGGTGGCATACAAGGAGAGGTAAAATCACGTGGAAATGTCTTAGGGCAGCTACCTTATGGACTATTTGGGAGGAAAGGAATGCTAGAATATTCCTAGAAAAGGAAAGAAGCTTGGCTGAGTTGAAGGACTGTGTTTTGACAAGAGCAATCCATTGATTGAAAACCTTGGATATGTTTGCTGATTTTTCTTTTGATGACCTATGGAGGAATTGGTCAACAGTTGCTAATACCTCTACTAAGAAGAATAAAAGAGTTATAGAATGGAAACCTCCCCCGGAAGGTGTCATCAACCTAAACTTTGATGAGAGCAGCCAAGGTAACCCCGGGCCTTCAGGCGTAGGGGGTGTGCTGAGGAATAAGGAAAGCAACATCGTGTCCTTATTCTCAAGGCCAGTGGGAGTGGGAGATTTTACAAGGGTAGAACTACTAGCAGTTGTACAAGGTATCCAGATCACCAACCAGCTTGGGGTGGAACATTTGCTAATTGAAGGGGATTCTCAGGTGGTAATAGGCTGGCTCTCAAACCCGGTTGCTGTCATTTGGGGGTACAAAGACCTCAAAAATGTGAAGTGGCAAACTAGTAATATGAGAGTGGATGTTAAATGGGTACGCAGGTCGGCAAATACTATGGCTGATTCTTTGGTCAAACTTGGGGTTTCTAGGGAAGATATTTTTTTGTGTTACCTTGTAACTTGTTTTAATGTGTTGGAAAGCTGTTCTTAACTAGTTTGGAGAGGTCGCATCTTGTGCCTCTCCTTGGGGAGCTTGTACCTTCTTATCTTTTGCGATTAATAAAATGTCATTTATCACAAAACAAAGGTCTCACCACTTGCTTCTAAACTTAGGGATTAAGGCACCAACCTAGTCTTCTCCTTTACAACATATCAACAGTATTGATCTTCATATCAGCCACTTTCCAACAAAAAAACTTTACCCTAGGGGGAAAAGGCCCTATCCAAACCAAGGTTTTAAAAGGTTAAAGGCGGAGGCGAGGCAGTCGAGTGCCAAAGAGGTGAGGCATAAGCCTCAAGGTGGTTTGAGGCGTCAAACTAAAAACTTACAAATTATGGAAATATAGAAAAAATGAAAGTGATAATCTAACAAAAATAATGAATCCCTGCCTGTTCGCATGTCTTTCTTATTCAATCCCAGAAGATAAGACCCAAAACCACCTAACCCCTGACTTCTGAACCAGAAGATAAGACCCAAAACCACTTACAAATTACTCTGACTTCTGAATCAGAGTAATAAAGTGATAATCTAACAAAAAAAAATGAAAATCAGTCCCCACATCTAACCGCTGCCTGTTCGTATGTCTTCCTTATTCAATCCCAGAAGATAAGACCCAAAACCACCTACCATACAAACGACAATATAATTTGGAAATGATAAAGAGAAGGGGAAGAACAAAAATAAATAGATTGAAGTGATAATTACTTTCTTTTTTGTTTTTTTTTTGTTTTTTAGAACAGATCATCGGCCTCATAAAGAAATCGTCACATTCATGGTTCTTCAACATTTACATATGTTTTACATGTTTTATATTTTATGCTTCAACCAATGGTAACAGTAAAACCATGAATGATTCAACATTTCAAATCTGAAACAAAAACTCAACCACAAAAATTCACATTCGTCCACATTCCACAACGATTCAAGAAGAAATCTAGAAGAAGAAGAAGATGATGAAGAAGAAGAAGAACGGGGAAGGACGACTGACCTGTACGATTTGATTTCGTCCCTCCTTGAGCTTGAATCTTCAATATTTCGATGAAACTAGAAGTATAGAGTACAGTGAGAAAACACCCTGAAGTTTTGGGGGTTTTAACTTTTCTTAATTTTTCATTTCTTTATTTTTCCTTATTCATTAAATTTTTTTAAGGTTAAAAGACTTAAACCTCCTGAAGTTTTCTATAAATACTAAAATCTCCCTCGTTTGAAAAAAAAAAAAAGAGATTTAAACCTCCCCTATTGATGATATCATTAGACAAATATTACCCTCTTTTAACCATCTGTTATGAATCGTTTACATGTCTTATCATGTGCTGGTCTGGCATTATTTCAAAAACCCAATTATACCCTTGATCAAAATTCCCAAATGATTCGGTTAGTCCCTTTTCTCTCCTCTTCATAATTTTTTCTACTAACCTCTCTTTCTCCCTCATCAAATGGATGCTCGGCCACAACTGCAAATAGCAGACCTCATCAACAACAAATCTGAAGGTTCAGAGTTCGGTATGATGCATTGAACAGCATTCATTGACAAGAAATACTGCCATTTTTTGAGGATTAAGCCCTTACTTTGTAGAATGAATAGATATGGGCTTTTAGACATTGAATCATGCTTGGAAGTCTCAGATGTGAAAGCTATAAATCAGATATGGCTTTGTACAATGGAATCCTCAAAGAATCGTAGTAAAAATCCTTGGGTAGTCTCACATTGTAGTTTTTGTTAACTCTTTCATCTTGTTATTATTTTTCTCAATAAGTTATTTTTTCAAAGTTGAATCGATATATAGATTCGAGCTGAGCCAAGTCAAATATTTGGCTATTCGAGCTCGGTTTGTTGAAACTGTATTAGGTTCGAGTTCGAGCTCAATTCGAGTTAGAGATTTGAGCTCAAGCTTGAATTCAGTTCAAAGTTCGCAAGTTTGAGCTCGGCTCGGCTCGAGTCGATTGCAAGCCAAGTTTTTTTTTTCTAAAAAATAAAAAGTATACATATAAAAATATTTTTTATTTTACATACAAAAAATTAAGAATTATAAATCATTTATTATTATACATATAAAAATAAAAAATATACATATAAATAATGTTTTTATTTTACATACAAAAAAAATAAGAATTATAAAAATTATTTACCATTATACATAAAAAATAAAATATTATTATATAATAAAATTATTTATTATATATATTTATATATTTGTATGTATATGTATATGTATATGTATATGTATATGTATATGTATATGTATATGTATATGCATGTATATATGTATGTATGTATGTATGTAATAAAAAAATATTTATTTATTATACTAGGCTCGTGAGCCTCATGAGCCAAGCTTCATTGGGCTTGATCTTGGCTCGATTAGCAAACGAGCTTATATATCAGGCTCGAGCTCAACTCGAAGCTCGATTTAAATCGAGTTGAGACGAACTTTTCACGAGCCAGACTCGAATAATTTGTGAGAAGCTCGGCTCGTGGCCACTCTAGTCCTTAAGAAATAGAACCCAAGCTCCTCCATATCATTGCATTCAACAACTTTGTTAGTACAACACATCCTCCATATTCCATTGAGTTTCCTTATCACAAATTCATTTCCTGGTCACATCTATGTTATTTTGTTTGAAAAGTCACTCCTGTGCCGAAATAAACAGAAAAAACAAGAGAAACTTATCGGTGGATCAAGCACCGAATGCTCAAAAGGTCCTCATTAATTAGAAACCAAGTCTCACTATCTCTCCATATTCACAAATTGACAATCAAAATAAGCTTAGGAAGTTAGAATGAATTTTCACACTTTATGTTTCACTTGAGTCCTGATCTCTTGCCCACGAGAACTCTACCTACATTTATTGCAGCCACATATGGAGAACATCTCATCCCCTGTATAATATTATGCAGGGGGAGATGTTCCCAATTCACAGGGGGTAGTGTATTGTGGGTAGGCGTGGGTAGAGTTCTTGTGGACAGGAGATCGAGAGTCTTTCACCTTGCTTAGAAACATGACTCCCTTTGCTTCTCCCTTTTGCTAATGTTAGAATTCAATATTCAAGATCTACAACAAAGCTTTGAACACAAATAAAAGGTGAATGGTGAGATGGAATTATTTTTATTAGTTACATTGTATGAACACTTTTGAATTGGCCTTTTACATGTTTTGAAAATTTAAAGAATGTTTTAAGGCAAAGAAGTCTTTTTATTGATTTTGTGACATGTAACGGTGTGTTATTCTGCCATGAGAGGTTTAAGTGCTTAAAAAAGTAAGAGGAGGTTTCAGTATTTAGAAGAAACCCCAAAGGAGGTTTAAGTCTTTTACCCTTTTGTTAAGGGAAAATTTTATTTTAATACCCTGAACTTTGGGGGCAGTGTTAAGTTAGTACCTGAACTTTTAAACGGGTCACTGCAGTATTCAAATTTTCAAAAAGTGTCAAATTGATTCAAAACTGTTAATTGACGTTAAGTATCATATAAAAGAACAAAAATATCCTTCACCTATCATCTAATTTTCTTCTGCTTTTGGCTTTGTATGGATCTCTAACCACCCCTCCATTTCACCAATTCTGTAGTTGCAATTATAGGGTCCCGCATCATTGTTGCCGGTGGCACTTCCGAATTTGAGGATAAGGGAGAACATCTTCCATCTCTTTTTATTCTTTTACGCTTTTTTCTTATTACTCTCAATTTTTAAATCCATAAAAAAATATTTTTCTTCTTATTTTTCCACAACAAAAATAAATAAATAAATAAATAAATATTAGGCAGCAAAAATCCAAGCCAGAGGCATGTGCAACGGAATGATAGAAAAGCAGAGAATAAAGCTACTCTATTTGTTTCTGCTATTTGCTTGTTCCTTTTTTATTTACATGATTGTTTTGATAATAGAAAAAAAAAGAAAGAAACTCAAAATAACCAGAGAGCTGTTACTAGGTTTATCTATTTTTCCATCACCCCAAAAACACCTTTCATTTTCCCTCAACAGTTCTACCATTTTCTCTCCCCCTTTTAAACAAAGGAGAAATTCAGAAACCGATTCGACTTCAACAGAAAATCAAAAGAAACCAAAAGGGCATATTTCTTGATCTTTCTTGTCTTGCTTTTACTATAACTCAACCTGCTCAAACAAAACAATATATCATTCACTAAAACCAAACAAAAGCGAAAAAACACGAGAGTTGTGCAGAAAAGAGTCTTCTAAAGCTTTATCCTCCATTTTAAGATTTTTCCTTTTTTTTCCATTTCCATTCTGTTCTCGGGAATCAGTCTCACACTTTGAGATTACTAATACAACTGAAGAAAACAACCCACACCTCCAGTTTCTGAACTAGCTCTTTAGCATTTGGAGGATAGACGATTATGTGTCGCTGAGAAGGCATGAAAAAGCCATCGTCCACAGCTTTGTCGATGAAGGTCAGCAGGTAGTTGTAATACCCATCCGCGTTGAGTAAACCCACTGCGGATTCAATAATTTAAGCACTGATCCGCCTGTAATCTTCTTTCTTTTATTGGTTTTCAGTAAAAACCAAAGCGTTCATCCGCATGTAATCAACGTGATGACAATGCAATTGTGGCTCAGTGTTATTATGGCTCAGTTTTAACGTAGAAGATAATTAATAGTGTTTTGTTTTTAAACGTAGTTTTGACATTTTGAATGTTTGGTACTGCAATGACACATTTGAAAGTTTGGGTATTAACTTGATACTACCCAAAGTTTAGGGTACTAAAGTAGAAATTTCCCTTTTTTAAAGCAATTTTACCTACTAGTCTTAGTTTGGAACAAATACAAATATATAAAATGCAAATACATACAAAATAATACAAAATACAAGGTTTTGCACTCTTCATATTTGTTTTTGTACTCCTTTCAAACTGAACATTAGGCTCAGTTTGAAAGGAGTACAAATACAAATATGTAAAGTGCAAAACCTTGTATTTTATGTTATTTTGCATGTATTTATACTATACATATTTGCATTTGTAATCTTTCCAAACTGAGCAAAGAGTACAAATACAAATATGTAGAGTGCAAAAAACTTGTATTTTATATTATTTTCTGTATTTGTACTGTACATGTTTGCATTTGTACTTCTTCCAAACTCAGCCTTAGGTTCAATTTAGTAAGAGTAAAAATACAAATATATATAATATAAATACATAAAAAATAATACAAAATACAGGGTTTTGCATTCTACATATTTGTATCAGTTTTTCCCCACCCCAAACTATTTTCACTTAAGGTCCCACTTCGCATAAAATGATGTGAAAGGCTAAAGGCATACGCCTCAATCAAAGTGAGGCTTACACCCCCATCCTACAATTGAGGCTATTAAGGCCAGGCGATTTTTGGTCACCTCATCTTAAGACACAGGTGGCTAAGAAAAATTACCATGTTGGTTTTACTTGAAGGTTTGTGGCTGAGGGATCTAGATAGACACCCTCAAGAGACTAAGAGATCTAACACTAATACCGTTTCACCATCCTAAGCCCTTGTCTTAGCAGAAGGTCCCAAGAGAAGGGTATTTTGTCTTTCAAAGTTAGATCCCCCACCCAAAGATCTTCGCATTCTCCCCAGAGCACACATCAACTCTAATGTGAAGCATGGTTTTCAAAACCGGGGACTGGTCAAGTGATTGGTTTTGTTTTTCACCAAAACCAGATTTTTGCCAAAAAACATTGATTTGGTTAACAAACTGCTGACCCAGGCGATTGAACTGTTTGAATCATTCAACGGTTTTGACTATTTTTAAAATTTTTAAAATTTTTTTGTCAAAACAGACCGACCATTCGGTTCGAACAATCAGACCGTTCAACTCAAGAACCAGACCTTTAACCGGTTTATTATCCGGTTCGGTTTTAAAAACCTTGATGTGAAGTATGAAATAGTTAGAGATGGAGAAAAGAAACTTTTAGTGGCAATCAAAAGCAGTTGTAGCATTTAATCCAGCATCCCAGCCATAAGGAGAGAAACCATAAAATATCATCATTTGTTTGTATCCAACGCCACTTTCCCAACAGTGAAGAATTCTTCAAGCCTAACCCCCCAAGTCCTAAACCCCCTACTTCCTTTCTTCTACCTACAATGTTCCAACTCATCATTTGGTTCTTGGATTCACCCAGCTACGGCAGAAGATTCCTCGTGTTGCTAATTTAGAGAATTCGACACCTTCTAATTGCCAACTGCAGAACTTGGCCCCTTTCATCTCGACAAGAGATCAAATGGTTGAGCAAAGAGAATGAATAATAACAAACAAAGAGAGAGAGAGATGAAGAATGACAAAAGAATAAGAGGGGCACTAAGCGGGGGTGTTTTCCTGGTCTTTTTATGTTTTATGTAGAAAAAAATCAGTATACCCCTTCTCTCATATACATGTTATTTGATCATGTATGCTTTATTTAAAAGAAGGGTGTTTACAATTTGGTTTGGTTTGGTTCAAGTTATTTGACCAACCAAATCGATTTGGTTAGATTGGAGAGTTAGTTATCCGAAATTTTTTGACCAATGATAAAAACTGGTCATTTCGGGTTGTACTGATTTGGCTTGGTTTTTGATTTGGTAGTTGGTTCAGAAAATTTAATTTTAAAAATTGAATTTAGAAGTTAAACTTACATTTAAAGGATAGAAATAGTATCATTAAAAAGTAGATTTAAAAAATTAAAAAGCCCTAAACCCTCTATTCCTTGCTTCTACCCACAATGTTCCAGCTTATCGTTTGGTCCTTCTTGGATTCATCCAGCTACCACAGAAAATTCCTCATGTTGCTAATTTAGAGAATTCAACACCTTCTAATTGCCTACTATAGAACCCGGCCCCTTTTGTCTCAACAAGAGATCAAATGGTTGAGCAAAGAGAATGAATGATAATGGATATAACAAATAAAGAGAGAAAAAGAGAAGGAAGAACAAAAAACATATATAGCATACTTGAGATATCTACCATTGACTGAAAATACGCAGGGTTTTTAAGAACGACAAAAGAATGAAGGGCATTGAGTGGGGTGTTTCCCTGGTCTTTTATGTTTTATGTGAAAAAAAAATCAATCTATCCCTTCCCTCACATGTTATTTGATCATGCATGTTCGTTTTACTTATAAGTAGGGTGTTCACAATTCAGTTCAGTTTGGTCCAAATTATTTGACAAATCAAATCGATTTTGTCGAGTTGTGGAGTTAGTTACTCAAAATTGATCGACTAGTGATAAAAACCAACCAATTTGGGTTATATCGATTTGGGATAATTTTCAATTTGGTTGTTGATTTAAAAAATTTAAAATTAAAAATTAAATTTAGAAGCTAAATTTAAATTTAAAGAATTGCAGTAGTATTATTAAAAAATATTAAAAATTAAAAATTGCAATGGTTAAAACACTAAGGAGTTTTAAATATTGTTCACAAAATTTGGGGGGGAGCTATTTGCAAAATCCTACCTAACTTGCAAATTATTGGCTGTAAATTTAATTAAGAGGACCACGACCTATAAAGTACAAACTGAGGGCTCACGCCTTAGAAAAAGGATTTCCACTAAAAATTCATCACGGGTGTTATCCGTTTAATAGAAATTAGAAAAGAATTAATCACTTGTCTTATCCATATTAAAGATATTCAACAAACTTAATAACATATATAATTATAATGACAATCCAAAACCCAATGAATATTGAACAACTGAATCTATCCATTGCAACAAATTAAAATTTATTGGATTGACCATGGATCATCAAGAGAGGACAGATGTGCTAAATTAGATAGATAGATAGATAGAATGATGATCAAACAGATCAATTTTGGGTTTGCATGGTCAATATAAATGATGCTTGTTAACATGATGATGTTAATCTTTTAATCTTGTACAAAAGCATACATATATTCACACATAATGTAATCTCTACTACTACAACCAATGCATTATATTACAAGCTGTCTCCACTTCCTCCATGGTAGTCATACAACAAATGATGCATTATATTACAAGCTGTCTCTACTTTCTCCATGGTAGTGATATATATCTAGGTGCCATCAATTTTGAGATGATCTGGCAATTATAATAATACCTTGAAATTTGCAAATTACACTAATTAAGCTTATTGAAGCATTGGATCCAAATCTCTTAAATACAACACAATTCTACTTATAGTAGTAATAGACATTACACAACAAACACGAGATACCAACTGCCAGAAACTTTTAACTCTGCCCTGGAGATACATTAGATGTAAAATAATGTTAGCAAAATCAAATATTTATTATTTCAAAACAAAAAAAAGAATAAAATATTTATCAGTTATCAGTGTGAAACAAAGTTTTTAAAACTGGACCAGATAGAGAACTGTTTTAGGTTCTGATTCTTAGGTCGAATGGTCTGGCCCACTCTGACTAAAAAAAAAAAAAAAAAAAAAAACAAAAACCATTGTCCAGGTCGATGATTTAACGGTTTAATCGCCCGGATCAACCATTTTGACGATTTGGGGTGAAATGGAACTGGTCAGGTTCTGATTTTTCCAGTCCAATCGTATAATCCGATTCGGTTTTGAAAACATTAGTGTGAAATGAATATTTAGATGAAAAGGATTACACAAGAAATTCATATAAAGGCAGATAAATAGGACCGATTAAATTGTCTGAGGTTTTGAACCAGGTCTAGGCCTGTAGTCTGTACCCTATTTCGAAACTGAAGACACGTGTGGGCCAGGCCAGACCTTAGAAAAATTCAAATTGCTAATTAACCAATAACTGAAATGGCACTTCACAGAAAATTAAAAATACAGAAACCTTTGAGGAAACGGGAAAACTATTAGGCTAATTATTAAAGGTCAAAGTTTTCTTGAGCGTTAATAATTAACAGTTTGACGGGATTAGCGTGTATTGGTGTGTTGGTGACTCCTAAATCCTAATTATTAAGGTCATAAAATTGATGAGGGGTTTGAATTTCAAATGCTGGTTTAGTTTTTGTTCTCTACCGTGTCAATGGTAATATCATGTACGATTTGATTGCAATTTACTAATTTATTAAGAAGATTAGAAAAAGAGAGAGAGAGGTTAGAAAGATAAAAGGTAATTAATTCAGCAAAAAATAAAATAGAATTACCCGTAATCAAATTTGTATTTGGATGGATTGGACAAAGCCGAATCACCTTGAACAAGAAGATTAATTAATTAGAATATACTTGTTTAAATCAAAAAATTAGAACATACAAATAAATTAATTACACAAAGAGAAAGAGAAAGAGGATATATGTATGGACTAACCTTAGATTAATGATCTCAAATTTGGACATCTGGAATATGAGCAATCTTGTTCCAATCCTGCCCTGTCTGTCTGTTATATCTCCTTGTCAAATAGGGACATCGTCTAATACACAACCGTTTTAATGATGTGAAGCCTTGGATCCCTTCCCACAGGGATCTCAGGTTGGGGCAATGCTCCATCCACAGTGCATTGAGAGACACCAAATTAGAGTTCTGGTTCCTTTCTTCTTCTTCTTCTTCGTCTTGAAGAAACGCCAGATTAGGGCAATTCACTATTACCACTCGTTCAATCTTTGTAATCCATGAAGGCAATCTTATGCCAGGAAATCCTATTAAAAAGAAATATTTGAGATTAGAGTGAGGTTCGAGGGCTTCCAGCAGCACATCATTGACGATGTCTAGACCCACACCATCCGGAATAGAAGAATTTCCTTCCCAAAGGAGCCCCAACTGACGAAGGTGGTGTTTGTCCTTTAAAAACTTTGCCCCGCTAATTGCTTGTTCATGGAGGTTAAGGTTGTGGAACCAGTCACCTTTGAAAACTATACCCAATTGGCGAAGATGATTTGAAAGAAGATGTCCAAACTCTCCAGTACTGCCTATAACAAAACCCCATAATGTTTGGAGGTTGGTTAATTGTCCTAGCATTCCCACTGGCATCTTCTCAACGCCACTAAACATGATACCCAGATGCCTCAAATTAATCATCTTTCTCATATCTCGTGGGAGTTGTTTAAGATTCCGGCACCCTGAGAGCAGTAACGTCTGCAAGTTGTAGAGGTTGGTGATTGAGTCGGGTAAATCTTCAATGTCTGTACACGAGAGGTTAAGGTATCTCAAATGTTTCAACCTTCCGATCTCAGGTGACACCAAAACCTCCCTATTCTCATCATAGCGCCTAGACAAGTCCAACACGCGTAAGCACTTTAAGTTCAATGACATATAATCAAACAGATTGTAGTCAATTTTGCAAATATCCCTTAAGAGAAGAATAGTACGCAGTCGCCTTCCACCACCAGCTCCAACATACGACGACAACAATTCTACAATTGTCCTTGGCTCGGGATAAGATCCCATAGGTGCAACAACTGACAAATGACGAGCTTTTTCATGAACAATTTGTCTTAATTTATTCTGCTGTTGATGAACATCCTCATCATCGTCGTCATTTATCGATGAGTTTGATGATGAATTTGACGACAACTGATCAATAACACAACATTCATCCCCATTCACTGATTGTGCAAGATCATGCATGAGGTCATGCATCTTGCATTTCCTTATTTCACCTGAATATTCATCTCTCTCTACATCCTGGAAAAACGACCGACCCAATAAGCTACTGAAGTATTTCTCAGCGGTATCTTCCAATGAAACCTCATCGTTAGCTTCTCCAACCACAAACCCATGCGCAATCCATTGCCATATCAACATATGTTTATAAATCACATAGTCTTTTGGAAACACAGAACAATAAGCAAAACACTGCTTCAAATGGTAAGGCAAATCATCGTAACTCAGTTTCAGGGCCGCCATGATTTGAGCATTATCATTTCTGTATTGTTTCCAAATTTCATCGTCTCTCACCAACTCCCATTCCTCTTTTGATCTTTTGGTGCGCAATAGCCCTCCCAATGCTTTTACTGCTAAAGGCACACCCTTACACCTTTTCACCAAGTCTATTCCAATTTTCTCCAGATCTGCATTTTCATCCTTATTTGCAATTGCAAATGCTCTTCGCTGGAATATGGACCAACAGTCTTTATCAGATAATGCTTCCAAACGGTGCATTAGAGGTTCACCCCTCACGACGGATGCAACCTTCTCACTGCGTGTTGTTACAAGGATTTTGCTTCCTTTCTTAGCAGCATCTCCTAAACACTTTCTCAACTGGTTCCACTCGCTTTCATCCTCATTCCAAACGTCATCGAGAACCAGTAAATATCTCTTCCCTCCTAAACTCTCTCGAATTTTTCTTACAATCATATCCCAATTTTCTAGGTTGCAACTATTTTTCGTTGCTGATTCTATGATCAGCCTACCCACCCTTTTGACATCAAAGCCAATATTCGACACACGAACCCACATTTTTAAATCAAAATGTTGGTTTATGGATTCATCATTGAACGCTAACTGAGCAAGCGTGGTTTTGCCTAATCCTCCAATACCAACTATTGGAAGGACTGAGACATTAACCTCATCACCACAACAGTCTTGTAGGTTATTTATGATTTTTGATTTATCCTTGTCCCTCCCGACAATTGGTAAATCAGCAATATCATCAAGAAAAGCATAGGTTTCTTGCACTCCTTTTCCTTTTTGAATGCTTGTAATAGAAGTAGTGTTTGTACTACTACTGAACTGAAACCTGTTCTTTTCTTTATCAATTCCGTCCAACTTCACATTGATCTTCCTAATCTCATGAGCCATCCTAAGACGAAATGCAACTGGGTTGGAGTAGGGTGAGAAGAAGTTGCATACCTTTTTCTTCATGCTTTTTCTAATCTCCATCTTGCGTCGCAAAATTTCTGTTGCATATTCGTCCAGTACGTCATCAGCTTCATAAGCCACATCTCTCAATTTCATCAACCAATCTTTCACGTTCTCATTCTTCACTTGCATCGTCTCAGCCTCCTTAACTACAACTTGAATCTTCTTCAATATGTTCTGAAGCTTTCTTAGCTCTGCCTTGAAACCCCAGGCTAGATTATTGATCTCATCGGCAACCAAGGAGAGCAACTTATCGATGATCCCCTCCGTGACAACAGTAGCCACAGCTTTGGCCATCTTAATTTCTAATTAATTATAAGCTCCAAAGAAATTAATTAATTGAAACCACCACCACCACCACAACAACAACTAATTGATCTTTGTGTAATGTAGTTTGTTTGCAACAACGTGGACACAAACCAGTGTCTTAAATAGATCAATGCTCTCTATGCTTATTTGCCCAGCAACCAAATATACCCAAGAAATCCCCATCACTGAATGTAACTTTCCTATAAAGCAAGGAAGATAATCAGCTGTCATTGTACCTAAGAGAGAGGGAATCATCAACCAGCATAAGATTGAGCTTGTGGCACCTGGAGACAAGGGAGTTAAGGAATTCAATTCCTGCCTCTGTGAGAAGCAAAGCAAATTAAAGCATGTCCTTGTCCTTCAATTACCAAGGTAAACTTCATTTATTCCTTGTCTTAATTAATTAAATACCTTCTCATGAATGGGATTAATTGATTCCTGGTTTTATAATCGTGTTAGGTTTGAAAGAATTTAAGTTGGATTACATCTTCCTATTGGTCCTGGGAGATAATTAAGTCGAAAAGATGCATACTTATTGCCTCCTTAGTTAGCTTGCTACTACGACAACAATGTTTCTGTTTTGCCAAATAATGAACTTAAATTATATTTGTTTATTCTTTCTTTGGTTGACTCAGTTAATTATTATATTATATTACATATAGTACATTTTTTCATTTAATTGATATGTTTTGTATAGGTCTCAAATTATACAAAAATGGGACATCAGCTCAATTAAAGCTCGTCGATATATCGTTAGCTACCCCAACTGGCCCCAAGCCATAAGTAGGAAGCTTAATTAATTTCTACTGAATTATTAGAAACTGCAGTAAAATTAATTCCAAATGACATGGGGCTTTCCAAACATTTGACCATTTTGGTTAGGGGTGAGCTAAAAAACCGAAAAATCGAATCGACCAAAAAAACCAACCAAAGCCAAACCGAAAATTCGGTTAATCAAATCGATCGATTCAATTTTGGTTCAATATTTAAAAAAAAAACCAAAGGTATTGGTTTGGTTTTGGTTAACCGAAATAGAAAAATGGCAATTAACCGAACCGACCAGTATACATATATTTATATAATATATATATATATTTTATATTTTCTATACATTAAAAATTAATAAATATGCATTATATATAAATACATATTTATAATATATAATATATTATTTATTATTTAAAATATAATATTATATATATATATATTTCTAGTATTTTATTATATATCTATATATTTTTCTATAATAAATATTGTAAATAATAAAAAACCAAAAAATCGATGATTAACCAAACCGGTCAATCAATTTATATATTTTTCAAAAACTGGTAACCCCTATTTGGTTTCAAAAATTAGCTCGTGATTTGGTTAATCGAACTGAACACCCCTAATTTTGGTTTATCATTCCTTAATTTCCTTCATCAATAGACAAATTAATTACAAACTGAATTTATTTACTGTACCTTTCTCCCCTCCTATATACATGTATAATGTAGCCACATCCACTCCACCCATTGCCCACTGTTGTTTATTAGTAAACTAGTAGGGACCCGTGTACTGCACGGGATTTTTTAAGCAAAAGCTAAATAATAGAAATGGTCATTTACTAAAATACCCCTTATAGTTTTATTGATTTACTATGGCCATTGATTTACTAAAACACCACTTATAATTTGCAATGGGTTTAATCAATCTTCCATTAGATGATAGTGGATAATGACAGTGCTGACCCTAATGTTCATTTAAATAAATTTAATCAAAAGAAAATAAAAATAAAAATACTATTTTTGCCCTTAATAAGACACGGGCAACCACTCTATTGGCTATATTTGGTCAATTTTGTTATATGTACAAAAAAGTGTTAAGTGTGTTTTTGGAATAAAAAATCATGGGCCTAATGGCAAAACAAACACTCCTTAATGAAAGGTTGATTAAGTAAATAAGTTGTAAAATATATGGGATATATATTTTAGTAAAATGAAAACTATAAGGTAGGTTTAAGTGAATATGTAAAACTATAAGGTGTGTTCTAGTAAATGACCCTAATAGAAACACATAAGTGCATAAAATTGTTTTGTATTTTCAAAATTTTAAATAATTAATAATAATTCATATTTTATATACTACTTTTAAATTTTTTATAATACAAAAATAACAATAATTAATTTCAATTAGGTTTATTCATCAAACTAATGAAATTGATCAACTCCACCCGAGTTGGTCAGTTTTCTATTATTTTAGGTCGACTTTGGTTAAAAAAATTCTCAATTCGACCAAGTTGAATCAGTTTCACTTAGGCCACTTGTAAATTGACCAAAACCAAACAATCTAACTGATGCAGCGCAATCCGGTCACTCCTAGCTGGCGGTGACTTGTCTCCGAGCTGGCGACGGACGGTACCTGAGAAGATGGCAGAATCCCAGGGAGTTCTCCCGGTAGGAATACTCCGACAGTCAAGTTAGTCTCGAGAAGTTTTGAGAATGCAATGTAATAGTGTTCAGCTAAGAGTATGGATGCACGATACCTCGGGCCCCTGGAGGATTGTCCTTATATAGCGAAGTTGCTGCGATCAGGGCGGAGCGGTTTCGAGATTACCGTCGCTGATGGAGTCCGTTACTCAGGATAAGTGTTATCCATTAGTTGAGATCATTTCCGCCCAAATCAGGTGGGGAGATAATGCTGACCATTACGAAGTGTGATTCCGTAAAATCGGGAAGCCGTTAAGGGCTGATTTTGGGACAGTTAGGAAGGTAGATCGATACACCTGCACTAGCTCACCCGAGCTAATTTTACCGAGTTGATACCCGTATTGGTGTTGCCGAGCTGTCGCCCGTGATGTTTCAAAATTAGGCTAAGTGTTGGCCTTACGACTTGGTATCGAAGTACTCTTAGCTTGGGAGAGGTCTTGGCCTTGGCCTTAGGGGGTTCTGAGCTCGGGGAAATCTAGATGTTATCTTGTAGCGAGCTATCTCATGTACCAAACTATTCAATCAGGTTCCGATGAGTTCACTTCGCCGAGTTATGGCCAGGCTATCATTCTGAGTTGTCACTCTCGCCAGGTCACGTCCACATGTCCCCCCTTTTACTAGGTTGGGTCAAATCATCCTCCATCACTAACCACGAACATATATTAATATCTTATATTTTAAACATAATTTTTAATATAAAAAGTGGAAAATTTCCCATATTTCTTAGTCTAAAATGTTTTATATCATAAATCTAATTTTTGAATTTATTTTTATTAGTTGCATTGTAATTTTTAAAATTAAATTTAATTTTTAAGTTTAAATCTTTTGAACCGACTGACCAAACAAAAAATAGACCCAAACCGATACAACTTGAGTGAATCGATTTTCATAAAAGGTTAGTCGGTTTCAACTAACCAACTCCCCAACCTGACCAGGTTAATTTGGTTGTCCAAATAGCCTACAACCAAACCAAACCAACTCATGAACGCTCATAATATTAATTAAATTAATAGTCTAATCTCTGATAAATACCAATTGTTTAATCTCCAATAATTATTGAAAGTTTTATGTTAAATAACAAAACAAAATAAATTTATACATAATCATTAAAAATACATTTATCACAAAACAATAAATAATTACTGAAATACAATAAATTAATTTTAGAATATATAATTACATAATAAATACAAATTAAGAGTTTAAAATTATTAATAATAAACATTATTTTTTGAAAGTTATTTTCTCGAATTATAACTTGATATAATTGAAATTAGTTATTTACAATATTATGTTAAAATATTAAATTATTATTAATTTCAACAATATGTTATAATTATTTTTCTACTTTTCAAATTTTTAAGTATATTACATAATTTCTTTATCTTAACTATTTAAAATCTAGTTATGTTAACTATTTTGTTATTTAAATACTTAAATAATATGTAAAATATTTAAACTTTAAAATAGTAAATTATTTATTGAATTTAATTATCCATAAAATCATAATTTATACTATTATGACATAATTTCATTATTGATTTTGTAATATATTAAATTATTATTAATTTCAATTATATGTTATAATTATTTTTCTACTTTGAAGATTTTTTTTTTAATTTATTATATAATTTCGTTATTTTAACTATTTAAAATCTAGTAATTACCAAAAAAACTATTTAAAATCTAGTAATTACCAAAAGACCTATTTAAAATCTATAAAATATTTTTTTTGTTATTTCAATTTTATTTATTTAAAGCTATTACATATTATTAAATATTTGAAAAACATTTAAATTGATAAGCCAAAAAAACATAATTTAAATTGTTAGTACATAATTTCATGATATGTTTTGTAAAAATATAAATTATTTTTTATGTTTTTAAAAAATATTTTAAAGTTATTATATAATTTTGTTAGAATATTTAAAAATTCTTAAATTTTTTAATCAAAACTTTTCTTTAGATGGATATAGATAAAAAGTAGGGCCGAAGATAAATAGGAATTGAAGATAATTTAGGAGAGAAACTCTGTATTAAATTTGAGATAATTTTGGAGATAAATAGGAATTAGAGATAATTTAGAAGATAAGTAGGAATTAGAGGTAATTTTGGAGATAAATAGGAATTATAGATAATTTAGAAGATAAGTAGGAATTAGAAATAATTTTGGGAAAAGTGGGGGGTAGTGGGAAAAGTAGTTTAGGAGTAATTTTAGGAGAAGAGAGTATTTAGGTTTTGGGAAAGTGCATCTCATTGGTTATTTCAAAAAGACAAGGACTAAAAAATAAAAAATTCGAAAAAAGGAGAAAATTTCTTGCACCAACTTTTAAGTATGTTTAATTTTAACCCAAACCACTTTTGAAAGTGAAAAATAAAAATAATGACTTGGTGAATAATCATATGATGCCATTGTTTGAACTATTGACCTATTTGACCAAGTCAATAGGCTTAATGTATCACATTAATTATCTTTTTTTGTATTTTTAGTCATTTTATACATTAATAATTATAATTCTCATATTGT